TTTCCATCACCCCATTGTCCAGGACACTGTTATGGCTACTGGTTGACTGTATTGGTGGCAGAGCTGTCAGGAGGCTTGGAGTGTGTGCTTTACCTCCCCTGTTCCATGAAGCACATGAGGGGCCTGCTAGAATGAGTCAGTAGAAACGTAGGCTCAGTATAGTCTAGTGCCCTGGAGATGCTTGGTAGTATTATCGGAAGGTCCACTTTCAGTCCTGGCCCAGGCTGTTAATGGAGAGGAACTCCTTGTTGGATGTAGTGACTAATGCCTGGGGACTTGCCAGTGTCTCACTCCTCACTGTGAGTGCCAGCCCCCTCTTTGGCTGGGGAGCTCAGGGCTGGATTTGGGTTAAACATCAAAGAACTGCCTCTGGAATCTGCTTTGGCCTGGCCATCCTCCTGCATGGGTCCCCTAGGGTGGAAATGGGGACCGTGTGTGTGAGTGAGCTCTCAAGTTTGAGAAGGACCCCACTGTGGGCAGGCTCCCTGGTGAAGGGGCGTGAGATGGTGGTGGTCTCATGTTAGCTGAAACTCAAAAACTCGTTGTCTTTCTGGAATTGGCAGGCATTTACTCTTCCCGGGCTCGAACCCGGGCTTTCCCTGACAAGCTATTGTGAGTCCCTGAGGGAGAAAGCAGGACGTGCAGTGGGTATCTGTGATCGAACATGAGGTAGTGCGTGAGCCATGCGCGTCTTGGGGTCATAGCAGAATCTGGTGGGATGTTTTCCTTTTGATAAAGGTGACATCCTAGAGAGTGGGCTCTCTGTTCTGAATTTGGCTTTTGCTTCTTTAAACTGCAGACTTGTAGAGAGACAACTCCAAGTAGGAATTAAGGGACTGAAATATTCCCTTCAGTAGGGCATGCTTCTGCCCTTGATTCCTGCACTGGGTACAGGTATAGGCCATGCAAAACTGGCTTACCATGTTGTTGGGTGCTCTGCGGTCAGTCCTGGGCTGTTGTAACTTCTGTGGTTTGAATGTATCCCCCAAAGTTCACATGTTGCAACCTTAATACGCCAGGCTTCCGTGTTGAGACATGGGGCCTAAGAAGCAGTGTTTAAGTCATGAGGACACAGCCCCTGTGTGGATTAATGTCATTGTTGGGAGAGTAGGTTGGTTAGTGCCAGAAGGGGCTCTGTTACAAATGCAAGTCAGACTCTGTCTTGTTCTCTTGCTCTCTGCTTCTCTTTGCCCTTGCACCTTCCGTCAAAGGACAGTGCAGCAAGCACACCCTCACCAGATACCCATCTCCCAACCTTGTACTTCACAGCCTCCACAACCGGAAGAAAGAAACCTATGCTTGGTGAATTACCCAGTCTTAGGTAGTTTGTTATAGGAGAACAGGACTGTGACTAAAAAATCAAAATGATGGTTTTGTCTCCTAGTAAGATTACAAGAGGTTTTTTTCTTTTTTAATGACTTTGCACAAATTATTAGGAAAGGAGCATGCTTTCCTTATTTGATCAAGATGATATTGGTTAGCATGGGGAGGGTTAGGAATTGAGACACACTGGTGGAGTCACAGGGTGACTTCACCATTTGTTGACTGAGCTGCACTCTCAAGAGGAGGCTGATGGTGAGAGCCCCTTGAAGGAAGTCAGGCCTTTGCATTCAGCAAGAAGGTGGCCCAAGGTTCTTCCCACCTCTGTGGAAGTGTCTGGATCCTAGCTCCCTTTACAGCTGTTCAGAATGACTCAGTGAGGTTGTTCCTGCTATTGGAATGTGCCACACGAAATAGCCCTGCAGAGTGAGTCAGAAGAAAGACCACTGGGTGAGCAGAAACCAAACACTGGTTTTCCCCAGCCAGACAGGCAGCCTCAGAAAGGTCGGGCTGGCATTAGCCCAGAGCACAGGAGTGTCCAGGGCGTGGGCCTGTAAAAACGAGGATGTATTTATAGAGGGTGTGCTGCGGCCAGGGTTCCAACTGACAAGTACCAGTGTGTCTTACACTGAGCCTGGGAGTACCTCCTTCAGGTCCCTGACACTGACACTAATCTGCCTTTTTCAGAAGAAGGCTTTATTGTGATATGCTTAGCAGCTCACAGATGAAATGTGTAGGTATCAGGGTCTATGAACACCCGGGGAGCCTACAGCCAGATTACAGAGACCTTACATGTCCTCCCCAGCCCCTCAGAGGTGACAAGAATCTGAGCTTTGTGTTTTAACTGACTTTGCTTTTCTTAATGTCCCTACCCGATGTGTGCATTCCAGAGCAACATGTGCTTTTGTTTATCATGAAAAATTGAGTACTAAGCCCAAACGTGGCTGTGTCAGGGGAGGCCCCTTTGGAGACCGTGGAGCGAGGGATCCTGAAGCAGAGACTTGAGCAGCTGTGTGCCTTGGAGCAGGAAGGCGTGTTAGGCTATCATGTGTGCTGCAAGAGGCTAATGTCCTCGCTGGGCCCTGCTCATGGGTGACCCTTTGGAGGTGGGGCTGTCATTCACAGCTCCTTTTACAAAGGGGTCCTGGGAAATCATGGAGAATTAAAGTAGGTAGGTGTTTGGCATAGCCATTGAGGCACACCCCTCACCTGTCAGAGTGCCTGGGTTTGAGTCCTGCTTCCATTCTTGGTTCTTGCATTCCTGCTAATGCACACCCTGGAAGCAGGAGGTGATGGTTCAAGGACTTGAGTCCTTGCCACTCTTGTAAAAGACCCAGATTGAGTTTCTGACTCCTGGTTTCAGCCTGAGTTAGCCTTGGCTCTCGTGGGCATTTGGGGGAGCAGAGCAGCAGATGGGTGATCGCTGTGTGTGTGTGTCCACCTTTCTCTGCCTTTCTATTTAAACAATAGAAAAGAGGGCTCCTTATAATGTGTTAACGTAGCATGAGTCTTTAATCTCCACTAAAGGGGGAATTTCAGGGAGCTGGTGACCCCCTCGACCCTGAGTGCACAACTGTTGCTCTGTACTCATTTAGGGTGAAAGGGTCTGTGACCCCCTTTGTCCCCTTTCCCGCTTGACGAGAGTGAGGGGTAATGTGGACGTTATGGTAGAGGAGTTTGTTTTTAAAAGACCCTGGGGATGTTGATGATTTCTTGAAATGAGTTTGATTTGCCTGTGTGAGTCTTGATGGGTTTCCTACTCATGAGAGCGCCTGACTGTTGAAAGGGCCGTGAGCAGTAAGTGAGATCTACACTTGTCCGTGTAGCATCCTTGACCGTGCTGCTGGTGGCCTGTAGCCTTGTGTTTTCTCTGAAGGCTTCGTCTTCCTTCCTTGACCCAGAGCAACTAGACTGCTAAAATAGAGGGGGAAAGCAACTGGAATGGTTGCTGTAGTTTCAAAACAAATGACCTCACTGCCTAAATCCTGCTTTGTGTAAAAGAAACCCTAACTTTTGCCTTATAAATAATGCCGGACCTTTGGGAACACAGATCCAAATACCCATTTAGTGAGGGTGGGGGCAGGCTGAGAAGCAGAATCAGCCATTGCTACATCCACTCAGTAGTTACTGCCTGCAAGATAATGGTCACTTAACTGTGTAATGACTGGCATTCACTTCCTCAGGGTAGGCACACCATTATACTTTGCATGGGTTCACCTACTGCGAAGTATTTTCAGTGGGGTTCCAAAAAGGTGAGGGTGTTTGAGAGTTTTGTGAGGTGAAGGACCCCTGAGTTCTATCCCCCTGCACACTCCTCCTCGAACAGATGAGGGAATTCAGGACCTGCAAGGTCAGGTGAGATCCGACGGAGGCTGCATTGATTGATTTGTCGGGGGGCAGCTAGGACTAGAACCCAGGAGGCGGAGTAGGCAACTACTTATATGCTTATGTTAAAATAAACAGGTAAAGATTAATTAAAAAAGGAAACATAACCAGATGCCTCATTTCCTAGAAAATTGTATTTTGATCATGCATTTCATACTCACCAAAGTGAAACTCTGACATGAGACTTAGCCCTTGAACCTTTGAGATGTACTCATTGCTGTAGTCAGCTGGGGTTCTGGTCGCTCAGCACTGCACGCCTCATCTATGGAAAAGGTGCTGTCTAATATTTCATTTTTTTCTTTCCATTTTTTAAAGATTTATTTATTTATCTGAGAGAGTTACACAGAGAGAAGGAGAGGCAGAGAGAGAGAGGTCTTCCATCCACTGGTTCACTCCCCAACTGGCTGCAACGGCCAGAGCTCTGACGATCTGAAGCCAGGAGTCAGGAGCTACTTCTGGGTCTCCCATGCTGGTACAGAGGCCCAAGGACGTGGACCATCCTCCACTGCTTTCTCAGGCCGTAGCAGAGAGCTGGATCGGAAGTGGGGCAGCCGGTTCGAGTCCCAGCGCCCACATGGGATGCCGACACTGCAGGCAGTGGCCCCAACTGCTACACTGCAGTGCTGGCCCCTGAATTGTTCTTGGCTTCTCAGAAACTCAGGTTTTTTTTTTTTTTTTAAGATCTTCAGTATTCCCTCCAAAGTTTTTAGATTTCCTTCTTTTGCTCCAGCACAAACTTTTTGAAGAAAACCAGGAGTGTGAGTGGTACAAGTCTGTTGGGATTAGAGAGAGAGAGAGTTGGGGGAAGTGCTGAGATTTAGAACGGCAGCCCCTCCTGTCTCCTCTTCCATTAAGAGCCAGACCCAATAAGAATAACATTTGCTTAGAAGTTGAGTTTTACTAGAAAGCTAGTTTACGGATAGAGTTTGTAGATGTGACTCTGCCATTCCACTCTCAGTGTTGCCATACTTGCTGCTTTCTGCATTTGGCCTTTCCTCGTCTGAAAGAACAGAAGCTTGGACCTGAAGATTTCCAGGGTCCCCTTGTGGCCCCATCGCTGGACACTGCAGTTGGGGTCTTAGAGAGGCTGCTCTGGAGCCACGGGACAGGACGGAGCCTTTCCCAGTATGGGGGACAGAGGGGTTGCTGGCCATGTTGGTGCACAGTGTCGTTTTCTTTTTGGGGCCTATCTAAAATTATCACCCCGTCCGTGCCGTTCACTGCCAGGAGAATGTTGCTTACCTGCTAACACGACCGCCTGCACTGACGTGTGTCATTTTTGTCTTCTCTGCCAGTGCACTGCTGCAGGGTGACATCTGGACTGGGCTCCCGGCCTCTCGCACGCTCGGCTGCCCACAAGTGCCCGGATCAACTTGCTGAAAACCGTGAGTGATCTCTGTGATTCTACTTGGCAAGCGGTTCTCGGTTGTGGAATCTCAGCGCTGGGGAGGTTGTGGTCAGTGGGTATGGGGTCCAGCCAGTTCTGGCTGATGGACTGCTTCCTTCCATAACTTGCCCATCTCACAGCTGGCCCCGGGAGCCTTAGAGATGGCTCCAGACTTGGCCTTTCCGTGTCCCACAGTGGTCATAATGGACATGGGTGGGGCTTTCTCACTCTGTCTCCTTATAGCTTCTGTGATCCACTACGAGGGCCAAACCCGTGAGTCTTGGCTGCCCTGTTCGTGGCCTTGTCCATGCTCCTCTTGGATGCTACTCCAGCTGTACTGGCCTTTCTGCACGGGGCTGTGGGATAGATGCTTTCATCATGGGGACACAAGCATGTTCCATTTTCTGCAGCCCACATCCTCTTCCCTGGCACCTACCTCCTGTCACGTGTGATCCTGATCCACCCCTTATCCCCAGGCCTTACCTGATGACTTTAAATGTCTCCCCCATTCCCAGACATCCATTCATCTCTCTGTGTGTCTCTTGGATCCTTGCTCTCATCTCTCTTGGGTTAGTAGAAGGGTCATTCATCCGTTCCACAGGTATTTATTGAACATTTGCTGTGTGCCAGTGCCTATAGATTGTGCTGTCATTGGACTTCCAGTCCCTGAAGAAAAAATGAGACCTGCCTTAGGGTTGCCAAACTGGCAACTGTCCCCCCTCCAGGATCACAACTCTCCCTGGGTAGTTTGCTTTGTTCTAAACACCAAGGCCATGTGGCCCAGATATCTTGTTAATAAGAACACAGGTTCCTGACCCAGTAGCTGTCTGGGGACCTTGTGTTCTACACAGCTAACAAGCCCTGGTGATGCTCCTACTGCAGGTTTAGAGAACCCTTGGTTCATGGTGATGCCTATAAGCCTTGTCTTTGGTTGTGACTCTCTGAGCTGCCTTGGGGGGGTCAGGGGGTAGGGGCTTTGTGAAACAACCAGAGACTCAGTGGGATTTCAGCTGGCCTTTCAGCCCCATGAGGCTGAGTGGTCTGATCTACAAATCCAACAGTGTCGTCACAGGCGGTGGCTTGATATGCTGTGCCACAGTGCTGGCTCCCCATCAATGTCTTAAACGCTGTGCCAAATGCCTCCCCTGCTCATGGTGTTTTGTTTTTTATTTATTTTTTTAGACAGTGAGAGAGAGAGAGACAGAGAGAAAGGTCTTCCTTCTGTTGGTTCACCCCCTAAGTGGCTGCTACGGCTGGCATGCTGCGGCCGGCGCGCTGCGCCAATCTGAAGCCAGGAGCCAGGTGCTTCCTCCTGGTCTCCCATGTGGGTGCAGGGCCCAAGCACCTGGGCCACCTCCACTACACTCCTGGGCCACTGCAGAGAGCTGGACTGGAAGAGGAGCAACTGGGACAGAATCCAGCGCCCTGACTGGGACTAGAACCCAGTGTGCCGGCGCCGCAGGCGGAGGATTAGCCTAGTGAGCCGCGGCGCTGGCCAGTGTTTTGTTATTAAGAACAGCTGTATCGGGCAGGCTCCCTTGGTACTTGCTGTTGGGTGTTGAGAAGAGAGACCACGATGGAGCGAGGGTCTGAGGGGAACAGCAGGAGGGGCTCAGGGCACTGCTGTGAGGCGCTCAGTCTTGAGTCAGGCAGTGGCTTGGCCCCAGGCTATGCCGTGAGTGGCAGAGTGTTGCTGCAGGCTCAGCGTGGTCAGGCCACAGCCCAGATCTTTCAAAGATCCACTTTCCCCAGCAGCTAAATTGATTCTCCACTTGAGTGATCAACAATTCTAACGGCTGTTGACAGAGCACTTGCAGAGTCCTAGGCTATGCGTGGTGCACTGTGGCTGAACCCTCCCGGCAGCCCAGGAGGCAGGTGCCGCCACTGTTGTATGGGGACAGGCTGAGGCCCAGGGGTGAAGGAACTGGCCCCCAGTCCCACAGTGGGGGATTTTTTTGGCCTTTACTTCTTGGATCCTGTCTAGAAATTGGATTTTACTGCTGGTGGCAAGACTGGGTAGCTGATTATTTACAGCACAGGTTATTTGTTTTCTTCCTCTTACCTTCTTAGGCGGGCTGCTGTAGCGAAGTGTGCCCTCCTGCCCTGACAGTTTTGCCATGACAGATGGGAAACAGGCTTAATGCTGTTGTGTGCCCTCTCTGCTACTAAGTCCATGCCTGTACCTGCCTTCTGGTATGTTGGGGATACCTCTAGTGATGGCCTAGAATTCAGTCCTAAAAGCAGCTGCTTCTTGCTTCTTCAGACTTAGAAGGTTAGGCTGACTTTTCCATTCAGCTTCAGTGCTCCTGAGCGGCAAATCCCGGCTCTGGTGTGATGACTTTATGCCCGTGTGCACTTCTCCGGGCTCAGTTGCTCATATGGACACCTGTGAGTAGCAGCCCCAGTTTGTGAGTCTGTCCACTCCACAGTGAACAGGGAGAAGATTACACCGTAGGGTTGTTTTAGACAAAAGCTCTTAGACTTCTGAGTACTTACCCTGGGCGGTTATCCTTCGAGGACTGCTCAAGTGTCCCTTCCACTTGTGTCTTGTGTCTGAGCTTTTCTTTTGTTGTCTGAAGCCAAGTTCTCTGTTTCTAGACAGTGAGGCCCCTGAGGGCTGGGATGACACTGCTTCCATCTTGGGATCCACAGTCCGACCCTGGAGCATTTATGAAATGAATGCATCACAATAATTTCTTTCTCCCATTTGCTTACCGAAAGGCAGCCTCTCTGAAGGGCCGTGAATGAACAGGCCCTGCAAACCTGAGTAGTAATGATGGTCAAGTTGGTCTCCTGTAATTACAAGCCTACAAATGAAAACCCGATGGTGGGGACTGGCATATGGCACAGTGGGTGAAGACACTGCTTGCAATGCCAGCATCTCAGATCACGGTGCCGATTTCAGTCCCACCTGCTCCTCTTCCCCTCCAGCTTCCTGCTAATGTACCTGGGAAGGCAACAAATGAAGGCCCCCATGCTTGTGGGAGACCTGGATGAAGTTATTGGCACTTAGCTTAGGCCTGGTCTAGCCTTGACTGTTGAAGCCATCTGGGGAGTGAACCAGAGGATGAAAGATTTGTCTCTGTCTCTCACTCTCTCTGCCTTTCAAAAAAATTAAAAGAAAATAGGTGGTGTGTGTTTCTTTGTCTTTCATGGACTTCAGAAATGAACACTTTTCTGGGGTCTCTAATTATCTGAGGTGATGGCAAAGAATGGATAGAAGATGTTAGATGAGTAAACAAATGTACATTTTTGTATAACCCAGAGTCGATTGGTTTGTTTCTTTAAAATGTCTTATTAACAGAGTTAAAAAAGGAACTTACAACCTGTTGAAATTTTTAAAAAATAAGAAAAGGAAGGGAAAATATTTTTACAACTGGAAGGCAGCTTCCCCATCATGTTAATCATCACCCTGATGATCCCTGTCAGTTTTTCCAACCTTTGGGTCCCAAGTTAGGGTTCTGGGACCTGCTTCAGAGTTGCAGACTGAGGCTGCCCCCCCCCCATTATGCTAGGATGCACTAGTTTGTTCCCTCCTTCCTTCCTTCCTTCCTTCCTTCCTTCCTTCCTTCCTTCCTTCCTTCCTTCCTTCCTTCCTTCCTTCCTTCCTTTTTAAGAAAAAAAAATATAATAAATATTCAGCTTCCCAGAGACAGACACAAAGCTCTTTGCCCCTGCAGATGCAATGCTAAATAGCATCCTGGTACTTCTTGAATTGCAGCCTTGACAGCACGATGCTCAGTGAGTTTCCCTCATTCAGAAGCTCCCAGTCTCACAGCCAGCATCACTCACAGAGCGGTCAGCCTGGGAGGCACAGAGGAGGATTTTGCTCCTGGTCTCTGGCTGAGAACCCATCTGCACTCCCATTCTGTAGCCTGGGATGTTCAGGTCCATTTTATTCTGTTTCCTTGTCTGAAATGATGGGTCTGTTATGATGTCCAGTCACAGTTGTCTACCCCATTTGAGAGATGTTTCTTCTTTAAAAAACAAAACTAAAAACGCATTTCCTGATGAAAGGAGTGCCTTGCAGAGAGAGATGTGCCTGGGTTAAGAACAATGAACAAAATGTTACCCACATTTGCTTTTCTGCTAAAAGGAAAAATACTTTTAAGGTGGTACCTACGTGTAAAGCTTTCGGGACCCTTTGCAAGAAAGTTGCTTTTATTTTGCTTTTCATTTATTTGTAAGACTGGCAAGCAGGCAGAATGATTGTCCATCTGTTGGTTTACCCCTGAATGCCCACAATATATGGGGCTGGGTCAGACCAAAGCCTGGAGCTTGGAACTCCGTCCCAGACTCCCATGTGAGTGTCAGAGTCCCAGGGTATATTAACAAAAAATTGGAGTCAGATGTGGAACCGGGACTTGAACCCAGGTACTCTGATTCAGGATGTGGGGGTCTCAAGCTATGTCTTACCCACTGCATCAAATGCCAGCTCCGGTATAAATCTATCCCACATTTAAAGACTGCATATTTTTAAAATAAAGGATAAGTTATGTAGCCATTTATTCCCCTGTTTGTGGGCGTTTTTCCCCACTCTGCCACCCACCATTCATGAGCAATGCAACAAGCATTTATGTAATACTTTCTGTAGCCCATTGTGGGCAGTTCTATGGAATTTCAAGGCCAGAGGATTTTCCCTTTCGGGAACAGGCGTTGTGCACAGTGGGTTAAGCTGCCTTTTGGGACACCTCTATCCCACATTGGAGTGCCAGTTTAAGCACTGGTTACTCTGAGTCTCATCCAGCTTCCTGCTAATGTGCATACTGGGAGGCAGCAGATGATAGCCCAAGTTCATGGGATCCTACTAGCCATGTAGGGGACCCAGATAGAGTTCTAGGCCTGGCAAGCCCTAGCTGTTATAGGTTTTTGGGGAATGAAGCAGTAGATCAAAGATCTCTCGATCTCTCGATCTCTCTCCCTCCCTCTCTCTCTTTTTTTCCCTTTCAAAAGATGAAACAGTTTATAGTTTGAACAATCATGAGAGCTCTCACCAGC